GCCTCCGTCTCCTGGGGATCGGATGGGAACATCCTCCCCATTCGTTGCTAAAAGTGGGTGCAGGATGTCTGTGCAGCTCTCGCAACCAGAGCAGCAGAGACTGGGACATTTCTAAATCAGGTTTCCTCACCCCATTCTTGGAACATAGGAAAGCGTTGTTTTGCCAGTGGGGAAGAAGAACGAGGGGTATCCTGCTTAGAGAAACTCTCAGTGACTACGGGATCCAACCTCCAACTCCTAAGCCCCACACAAGCGTTGTCCCTGCTGGCCCTTGTCCTTCCAGCGAGAGAGATCTGCGAGCTCTCACTCTCTCCACATGCAGAGGGACAAGGACTGAGCTCAAAGCTGTGCAGCTCCATTCCTCTCACCTGAGCTGGGGTTTGCTCATCAAAGGAGGAGCTAAAGCCCTTTGAAATGTTAGAAATGGGTGGAATCGGTTCCACTCATCTGGGAGTTTAGTTATAAATGCTGAAGTGAGACCAAAGCGGAGGACAGAAGCTGTTTAGCAAAGCCCTTAAAGAAAGTATGATAGGTTAACTAGGAAATAAAGGAAATAATTAATGCAACTGGTATAGATTTAAGAGAGAAGAATGTACATTTTTGTTTGGATTTATTTATGTTAAATGCATTGGAGGAGGATCTCAATATCCAGAAACTCGGTGTCCAGTCTGATCTTCCTGACGGTGCAGTGCTGAAGACTTTTAACAGAGTCCCTTTGCACTCAGTCATTTCTTACGGAACAAGGAGAGGGAAGGAGGGGGAAGTTATTTTCCCTCCCGCCGTCACTGCCGTAATGTGAGTCACATCCGGCCGTCCCCCCCCCTGCCACTGGGTCAATAAACAACTTTTTTTTTTTTTTTCTCCCAGGAGCTCACCTGCTCCTTCTCTGATCACGCAAGGATCTGCTTCGGTGCTGCCAGTCACATGCCTCAAGCGAAGCGTGTGCTCAAGTGCTTGGCTGGAGCCCACGGGGCTGGACCCACGGGGTGACGTGAGCTGATCTCACAGCTGACACCAAGGGGAGGGAGGAGCTCCTGCTGCCCTCTCCCTGTTCCCTAGGACCACAGAATGTGAAGGGCTGGGAAAGACCTTTAAAGTTCATCCCGTCCAACCCCTGCAGAGAGCAGGGACAGCTGTCACTGGGTCAGGCTTCAAGCCTGACCCTGAATGTGTCCAGGGATGGAGCCTCCACGACCTCTCTGGTCAACCTGTTCCAGTGTTTCACCATCCTCATTGTAAAGAACATTTTTCTAACATCTAATCTAAGTCCGCCCTGTAGGCTACCTGCTCCTGTTGCTCACCTCACACCTGCTTCTCCTTTGTCTTACCGAGCTGAGGCTCACAGAGGATCTAACAAGCAAAAGGAAGGGACTGGGAATGGACAGTCCGGAGCGGGGGGAGACCTTCCCTTTCAGCACGAACAAGCTATCAGATTTAGCAGGAGTTTGCTTGCAGGAAAACAACAGAAGATTCAGGCCAAAGACTGGGGTGGAACGTTGCTTTGTGGGTGGCTTCACCTCGAGGGCAATCATTTACACTGGGGCCAGTGAGACATAAAAAATTATCCCGTCTGAGACTCTTTGGTGATTTCCACCCACTGAGGAACATGGCCTGAAGCTGTTTCAGTAGTAAAGTTTCTCAGTCGGGAAATTTGCTGTTAGTCCAACAACATCTTTCCCTGACAGGAACCATTTGTCAGGAGGGTCTCGTACTTTTGAGCCTTTGCTCCTTTTTTCTGATGGCAAGTCAGGTGTTCTGTGCTGTTTGCCACCAACACAAATGGATAACTTGTCCTTCCTTAATACGGTCGCCCAGCTAACTTCATGTTCTCGGATCTTGATTGCCAGTTTTGCCCGGGGACCAAACTGGTTCCCAGTGAACTGGGAGTACTGGCACCAGCTGATTCCCAGCTCTGTAATTAGCCAGCATGGGGACACTCAGAGGAGTCGTGCCACCTATTTGTGCCCCGGTTTCTTCACCTGCAAAACAGTTACCTCTGTGGGGAAGCTGTTTCGCAACCTGTGCCTGAAAAGTGCAACAAGAAGGCTGGATTTTTTAAAGGCAGAGAAGTCTGGAGGAGAAGCTGTACAGCTACAGCGGGGAAAACAAACTGGATAGTAACAGACCGAGGGCAGAAGAGAAGAAATCATCTGATCTCACTCGTTTCTGCCTAGTGATATGCTGCTTCTCTGAGTTCATCATCAATTTTCCTTAGAGCCTGAAAAACTCCCGCTCCAGCCTGGTGATTCTGCATGTCCTACAACCCGGCAGCTTTTCCATCATTAGACACCCTTAAGAACTGTTGAAAAAAAAAACCAACAAAACCCCAAACCTCACAACAGGCTTTTATGTAGGGATCTGACTCATTAAAGTTCAATTCCACCTGTTGTTAGAGGAGAGAAAGAACTGCTCTGGTTTTTGCTGTTGCCAGACCTTGTGTGCCTGTGAGAGACACGGCTGGACAGGCTGGATTCAGCTTTTACCTAGAGCCCTTGGTCCCATATCTGGCAAGCCCTGGTGTCTTCAGAATAATAGACAGGGGGAAAAAACCCACTGTAAAGTAGCCCAGAGGGGACAGCTTGATCCCGTCGGAAGAAACAGCGCACTGGAGCCCGTAACTTACTCACCGTGTGCAGGCTGCCCGTGACCTGCTTCCCAAGGGGCTTGTGCTCCGACGAAATGCTCATCTCCCTCCCCGGGAACTGGTGGCTCAGCGGCGTGGGAAAACCTGCTGCTCGGTGCTCAGGCCCTGCCCCGCTCCTCTTTCACTTGGTTTTGCTTCGTTGGATCAGGTTTTAGTTTGTGGTTTTTTTTCCCAGCCGCTGCCCCGCGAGGCTCCAGTTTGCTCCGTGGTGCAAGTCGCAGGTGTAGGGAGAGGGGAGGGAACAGCCTGGAAGCGGAAGTATTTGCTCATTAGTTTTCTGGCAACCAGCAAGGTGCAGGGTGGACTCGGGCTGGCCGGCAGCACGCACCTCCTGTAACACGACCTACGCAGTGACTGAGAGCCAAGTCATCGCCCAGGTGGCCAAGAAGGCCAACGGCATC